ATGAGCAGAGGGCTGGAGCAGCTCTGCTGTGAGGAAAGGTTGAGGGAACTGAGCTTGTTTAGCTTGGAGAAGAGAAGGCTGTGGGGAGACCTCATTGTGGCCTTCCAGTGCTTGAAGGGAGCGTATGAACAGGAGGGGGAATGGCTGTTTGTGAGGGTGGACAGTGATGGGACAAGGGGAATGGTTTTAAAGTGAGACAGGGGAGGTTTAGGTTGGATATTAGGAGGAAGTTTTTCCCCCAGAGGGTGGTGAGGCACTGGAACAGGTTGCCCAAGGAGGCTGTGGATGCCCCATCGCTGCAGGCATTCAAGGCCAAGCTGGATGTGGCTCTGGGCAGCCTGGGCTGCTGGTTGGCGACCTGCACATAGCAGGGGGTTGGAACTGGATGAGCGCTGTGGGCCTTTGCAACCCAAACCATGCTGGGATTTTAATAATTGAAGCTATTCTTTGGAAATAGTGTAAATTATGGTTTGAGAGCTGAATTCTTTTGTCATTTGCTTTTTTTTTTTTTTTTTTTTACTTTTAAGGCATTATTTTACTTGAATGATTAGTGGAATAACGTTAGCGTGAGTCTCAAAGATCTGGAAGAGAATTCTGTCTGCACATATTGTTCCTTGAGCTCTAATGTAATGATTACATTCAAGATTGTTCCAGGGGCAGTATTTCAGTATTTTTATATGACTTTCCTGACCATTTCTACTGACATCTCTGGGTCATGTATGAATCAAGTACTTGAGCAGTAACCAGAGTTAACAATTCTGTACTATAATATTTCAGTTAAATTGCAGGTTATTAAATAAAGCAAGCCAATTTCTGCTCTCACTTAATGTACATTTCCAGTAATTCAGGATCTGATGTCAAAAAAATAATGTTTTAGATAGTGCAAAGAAGTGAAGTAATCAGATTATCTTTCAGGAAATGTTTAGTGTTCATTCCAAGCTATATCAGCATGCTACAGAGCTGGCAGAAAGATTCATTGTCTGTGAGGTAGCCATTTGGGTCAGAAGGATGTGCTGTCTTTTCCTAATGCAGTCTTGATTCCTGGCTTTGATGGTCCAGAGGAATTCTCCCTTCTCATTGGCTGTATGACTCTCCTTCAGTTCTGTGCTGTCTGTTCTCAAGAATTGTAGCCCACTATCTCTGAACTCATCATTTTTTAGTTCCTCATTTAGTTCTTTCTGAGATTGACTTTATTATAGATATGACATCATGGCTAGCAGAGTTTTAGAAACCCAAAAGCTGACTTTGCTGCGTTCTGAAAGTTAGTCTTTTGCCTCTCTTTACATCATTTGGAAAGCAGATTACATCCATGTCACCGCTGCTAAAAGTCTACAGTTGATTTTTAGAGCATAGCTGTCCTGCAGGTTGTGTTCCAGACCAGCTCTAGGCTAGTGCTGTTTTGGAGCCTCTCATTAGCAGTTGGGTGTTCAGTAGCTGCTGTACTAATGCTGTACTGGACTGAGGGGATGAGAAAATTATATACAATTCACACAATTCATGCATGCTTTCTCTGACATCTGAAATTTAGGATATCTACATTGTAATTGTAATTGCAAGCAATATGGCAGTGAAACTATCCTTGTATAATTTATGTGTATCTCTAGAGCTTTAAAGCTGATTCCTAAACACTGGTAGAACTTACAGCATATGAGTATCTCCTTTGTCTTGGTGGACTATAGACTCATTCATACAAAACGGTTGTGTTCAAAGCAGGTCCAAAACCATCTCCTCATGGATCTGTTCTGTTCCCCATCCCTATCTACCAGCGCCGGGGACTGTGTTTCCAGGGAGTAACAATTAAAGACTGAGGCAAAGAAGGCATTAAGTATCCCAGCCTTATCCTGATCCTTGGTCACCAAGTTGCCCTCAGCGTCCAGCAAGGCATGGAGATTCTCCCTAGCCCTCCTCTTGCTGTTGATGTATTTATAGGAATATTTTTTGTTGTTGTAGTGGCTAGGTTCAGTTCTAGCTGGGCTTTGGCATTTCTTATTTTCTTCCTGCACAGCTTCACTATGTACCTGTAATCATTATAAATAGCTTGCCTACTCTTCCAGAGACCATAAACTTTCTTTTGTTCTTGAATCCCAGTCAAATCTCTGTTCAGCCAGTCCAGCCTCCTTGCCCATTGACTCACGTTCTGTGAGCTGGGGATGTTCAGCTCCTGCACCTTTAAAATAACTTCCTTAAAGTATTCCCAGCCTTCCTGCACTCCTACGCTCTCCAAAACTACCTCCCAAAGGACCCTCTCAACCATGGTCCTAAGGAGGTCCTAAAGATTGTCCTTCAGAAGTTGGAAGCAGGTTCAGAAGCTGGCAGTTCTGCTGACTCCTTTCCATGGTTCAATAAGGATCAAGAAATCTAGCATCTCATGATCACTATGACCCAGATGGCCTCCAATCTTTACATCCCCCACAAGACCTTTTCTGTTAACAAAAAACAGGTCCAGAATTTTGCTTCCCCCCATTGTCTCCCTCACCAGCTGTGTCAGGAAGTTATCTCCCACTCACTCTAGGAACCTCCAGGATTGTTCTCTATCTGCTGCATTATGAATCCAGCAGATGTTGAAGCCCCCACAAGAACAAGGGGGAGTGACCTTGAGATCTCACCCAACTGTCTATGAAGTATCTTGTCCACTTCTTCATCCTGGTTGTAGCAGACCCCCACAAAATATCAGTCTTATTGGCCTTCATTTTTATTCAGATTCATAAGCTCTCAACCCTATCATCACCATCATAAATTCCCATACATTCACATTCTTTCTTAACATAGAGGGCTACACCACTGCCTTTCCTGCCTAGTCTGTCTCTTCTGAAAAGTTGGTAGCCATCCATCAGAGCACTCCAGCTGTGCAAGTCATTCCACCACGTTTCCATGATGGCAACCATATCATAGTTTTCTGACTGCAAAGTGGCCTTCAGCTCCTCCTGTTTATTACCCATGCTGTGTGCATTAGGGCACCTGAGCTGGACCTCCTTTTGAGTGGCAGTAGTCCTAATACCCTCATGACCATACTCAGGTGTTTCCACAGCCACCAACCTTACACAAATCCTGGTGTGAGGTAAGACCCTACAAAAGGGTAAGTCGTCCTCCTTCTTCACCATGGCACAAGACTGTGGGATCTTACTAGCACATCCCCTTCCCACAAGCACTGGGAAATCACAGACAGGCTCCATTCTAATGCCCCCAGTTACACCCGCACCCCCCTTCATACCTAGTTTAAAGCTCTATCAGTGAACCTTCCCAACTCCCGTCTTAAGACCCCTTTCCACCGGTGGGAGAAGCTTGTCTCATGCAAACAGAGCAGAGGTCAAAAAACCCAAACCCCTGCCATCAGGCTCGGAGCCAGGTATTAATCCATTGGTCGGTGATATTTAGTAACTCGTTGATCCCTATAACTGGAGGAATAGAGGAGCGCACAATTTGTGCTCCTGAATCCTTGTATAGCTTTAACCAGGGGTTAAATGGTGAGCAGTCAAGAGCAATAGAAAGGCAAAGCCTTTATCTTCACTGCTGTTGATGAGTTTCTGATAAGAAAGTAACACACTCAGAGGATCAGTGAAAGGCTGGTAGAGTCCATGAGCTGATCCATTCATCTAAGTTTATTCTGTACCGCGATAAGATGATCTCAGAAAGCCTTATTAGGTGTCTCTGTACATCTGCAGTGACAAGCATGTATTTTCATCTGACGAAGAATGAGGAATGTTCAGCAAATTGCCTGGTCAGTGGATAAAGGTATCTTTACAAAGATACCTTTCTGTGTCTTCAGAAAAAGGCAGGTTTTCTATGTTGTCCAAGTGATTCGGTAAAGTGAGTTGATACAATTTAAACCAGTCTTGACTTGAAATTAATCCTTTATCTGTGTTCTTCTTGGGGACCTTTGTTCAGCTGTCAGAGCCTGCTTGGAAGATCAGAACCTGGCCATCATTTTGCACATGCCATTCCATCGTGGAAGTTTATGCTTCTGGATTAGTTTATGTTCTTATGACTTACACAAAGAAAACTTAGTCCATTTCCTTTAAAAAGCTCTCTGAACATAAAAATATAAACTTACTGAAATAGGTTTTCCTTAATGTTTGTCCTTTTAGAAGTACTGTCTCGCCATTAGTGAAAAAATGTTGTTTTTTTCCTCAATTCTTTGTTTAAACTATTTGTTTGTCTTTTTTTTTCCCAAGCAGTGAAATTTATTCATTTTACTGAAAAGGTGGCCCTGGTTCAGTCCTTTCTCTTATTAAACAACAGTATACCCAGTATGCTTTGCCAGCAGTGTTCATAAAATTGATGGTTTGTCCTAAGTGAAATCAGGATTAGACAAGTATATTTGGAGATCAAGGTGTCTCTTCACCAAAGAAAGAAAAAGGATTTAGGTAATTTTTCCACTTTGAACTGCCGCCTTGGCTTCAGCATAACTTGGTTTTACTGAAGCACCAACTGGTGAACAGCTGGTGTATATGAAGTATGTAAGTGATAGATGTGGCAGGACCTTTTTTCTGGCATTTGTCCTAAGGAGCCGACTGATAACTGCTCAGTTGGTAAAGGTGCAGCTGGGCATCTGGTGGGCTCCTCACAGGCACTGTCTGAGAGCTGGGTGTGGGAACTAATGGTAGTGCAAGCATCTCTCATCTGTTTGGTGACAAACGAGTGCCAAACTATGAGAGCTGTTCCGAAAGTAATGCTTCCTATTATTTTTATTTTTTTTAATGTTTGCCCACAACATCAGAAGCGGATGTTGGTGGGATGGCAGTAAAGATTGAACCATCCCACTTATATTAGAAATGGAAGTAATCTCTGTGGCTTGTAGAATTGATGTTCATTTATGGTTTGAATAATCTGATGATACCACAGAGAAACTAATTTTGTTCTCCCTTGGTGTATTTAAATGCATAAGTATTCATCACAATTTTCTATTTCCATCTCCAGAATATTTACTTTTGGAAGTTTTCATTCATGTGATTTTTACTTCTGATGGTTTCAATCAGTGATATTTTCTGCTTTTTTTTCAGTTATACCAGCAGAGTTGTTTCCAGTGGATTGAAGGCTCAAATTAATAATCCAGAACTGAAAGTCAGAGGACTAGACCCACTCATCAGCAATTTGATTGATAAGCTTCAGAACTTTAATCATGTAAGTAACTTTAGAGGTGAAAGCATTTTACCACCAGATCTGATGGCAGAGCTGAAGCCAGATGAATGGTACCTAAATTTCCCAGAGCCCTAAGAGAGCCCTGAAGAGGCCTGGTAACAAAGGCAGCCAGAGATTGTCCTGTGTCAGCTGGATTATAGATTTATAGATAATGAGACAAAATTATTTCCCTGGAAGTTGCTGTAATTCCTGGCTGTTGTCCCATAGCATTCAGTTCACTGTCCTGTCTGGAGTTCCATTGAGCATCTCCTGAGTCCCTCAGTTCACAAGAGTCAAGTTCTGTTTCTTAGCCCTGTGGAATTGTTCTGGAGGTGTTTCTCCTTGGTTGAGCAGCTTTGTGGTGTAGATGTAAACAGATGAGAAGACAAAACAGATCTGTTAACTGTGCAATAACTGAACTGCATAGAACTTAAATCAGGACAAAAGGCACTCCCAAATGTATCAGCTATGCCCCTTTGAAAACATCATGATACACCAAAAGAATCACTGAGTTTGTCAGATGCATGATTAACCTCTGTCTGCCTCTGTTGTCTGCTAGTCCCCATGGATCTGCAGGCTTTTGAAGCTAAAGGCACAGCTATGAGATGTTATAGCTTCAACACAGCGCTGTAAGCTCTTACAGCAGTGCCACTCCAAATGAGCTGGAGCTAACAGATTTAGCAGAGATTGATTTTCATTTAAAGTAGGCGTGTTTTCTTGTCAGCTTGGAAGAATGCTTTCAACAGTGCGTTCACAGTCAGATGTGTCTGCACATGAGTCTACTCATAATCCTTCACCGTAACGGAGTGATGGAGCGCTTTTTCTAAAAAAAGAGCTGGAAGATTAAAGGTAACCTTTGTGGGTGGGATGATCAGGAAGAAAAATAGTCTGCTCAGTTAAAATGGGAGGAGGCATGGCTTAGTCAGAATGTTGGGATTTCTTAAGATCATGACTGTGAGAAGGGAGTTGTGGTTTGATTTCTTATTTGCTCTTATTGTTACTTCTTATTATTATTATTACAGCCCTCTTTTACTTCTCATCAGCAACAAGTGGTAAATCCATAACCTGTAATTGGTGTTTCTATTAAATCTGGATTGTCTTTTATGTTCTGTAGTCTGCAGTTCAGGGATCCTTTGTATTGCACGGCTTTAACTTGCCATAGGGGATTGCAGCAACGAGGTTGACGTGGTACTTGATATTGTGGTGAAATAGACATTATGTGGTTAGACTGATGAAAAGGGTAATTCATTATTTATCTGCCTTTGTATGTTATCAAATAGAATGTTAATTTACTTTATAAATATTAGATATATCCGTCTGTGTAATCGTCCTCTATAAACACAAACAACAGAAAATAGTTAGATTGAATTAAAAGTAGCTATGTATTGGAAATGCTTTGTCTGTTGTAGAAAAGGAAAATCAGAACAGTCTCATTATAATTAGCTGCATACCAACTTTCTTATGTACACTTAAAAAATACCTTCAAAATACACCTATTAGTTAGAAGAGTAAAACTGAATTCTTCGTATCTCTTCATCTAAGTTGGAAATATTGCTTTCTGTTACTTCTAATTCTTTTTTATGAGAATATCATCTTTAAGTAAATGTAACTACCATCAGATAGAGGCGCTTAGCAATAATGTATTCCAAGGGTAAAGGATTAAACAGAATATTGATTATTGCCCTAAGATTGTTCGTTCTTAAGTACTTGGAATAATATGAATTCCTTTGATCATAATTTTAGTAAGATTTCTTCAGAGATCAAAGCACCAAAGAGTTGCTAAATATCTAAGGCTTTCACATATATCATCAAACACATGTAGTTGTTTTTTTTCTTCTTGAGTTTTTTTTTCAGTTGTGGTATTAACACACAAATAAAAACTGGCACTGAAAAGCCAATTAAATCTGGATTTTAAAGAGCCATTAGCGTGTGTAGGCTGTGTAGGAGAAGAGTGATACAGAATCCTGGTATTCTTTTTATGAGCCATAGGTGTGTTGGAATCTAAGCAGTGAAACAGTGACAAAATAACATCTTTGTATTCCCCTAAGTATTTGAGATTAGCAATAGAATTTTAAGCAACACTTGCATATCTCATACGCAGAAACGAAGCAGAGAACAAAGCAACACACAGAATATCCATCAGAGTTGATTTAGTGTGTCTAGGTCCCACTCATCTTCCTCCACTTAACTAATATTGCTAAACTGCACAGAAAAAAATGTACTCTTGGTAAGAGGCAGCTGTGCTGAGACTGAAACACCAATAGCATTTCCTAGCTATGAAACCAAGCTCTAGCCTTGTAGCATCTCTGTAACAGAGGGCCTGGGCCTGTCCGCCCTCTGTCTCTGACTTGTCACAGTGTACATTTTTGAAAATTGGGATAATCATCTGCTGGATTGATTTGGCATACTGTTATCTACAGTGGCATACTGTTAGCTACAGCCACGTTCCAACCAACAGCATTTATTTTTCCCCAGGTTGCACCTTAGCTCAGCACTTCCACAGCTTTTCTAGAGCAAGTGGAATTGCTGCTGCCTCAGCGAGCCTTCGTGTGCCTGTGGCTGGAAGCAGCCCAGCCCTTCCAGCACGGAGCAGGCTGAGTCTAGCACCTTACACATCATCTGTATGCTAGTCTTCTCCATTTCATAGAAACACAGAATCACAAGGTTGGAAACGACCTGCAAGATCATCTAGTCCAACCCCCCTCCCATTCCTATTAGTACCACAGGCTACTAAACCATATCTCGTAGCTCCTCATCCAGGCGCCTCTTGAACTCTGCCAGGGACGGCAACTCCACCACCTCCCTGGGCAGCCATTCCAGTGCCTGACAACCCTCTGAGAGAAAAAGTTTCTCCTAATTTCTGGCTTGCATTTGAGTGAAATGCCAATTCATTGGAGATTGTGGTAGTTTCTCACTCTTTTCATCTTGGAGTTAAATCCTCACTATGTATCTTTTTTTAAACAAAATGATTATGCAAATAGCAGGCTATTTGATAACACTTTGTGAAACCGAAAGAAATTCAGAAATTACTGTCATTTGTGCCCTTGTCAGATAAGGTATTTGAAGGGTTTATTGTAGCTGTTGATTCATATACCAATGGAATTACTGAGTTACAATTTACTATAGGTAAAAATTACTGTAATGCAGAAACAGATCAAGTGAAGTCCCAGTTGATTTTGAAGAACTAGCAGTCAACAGTGGTATCTTTTCCATCCCCCTTTTTGATGAATAGAGCAGATGTGAACTGCAACTGATAATAAATATGAAATCCCACGTTGTACCTTTTTTGAGGGCTACTTCATGCCACATAATTGTACTTCAATATGTACTTAGTGTTTTTCTTCAGTGTAATGCTTTTCGTGGTTCAAACACAAGAGCTTAGGGAGCTAAGGCTAACAATCCAAAAGTAACAATTGTATTTAAAGCAATTAATATGCTAGGGGAAAGGGGAAAAGCTTTGACTGTACCTTGCCTAGCAGGGTTGCACAGGCATTCTCAAAGAACAGTAAAGTGATAAGTAACATACAAGTTTAACTTCTTTGTCTAAAATCTTGACAGATTTTAAGAATACAGTGCGTTTTGCTATTGTCATTTGGAGCTGGATGCTTACGGCATGGCTGTAAATCAGGAAGACAGTGCAGAATCTCAGTGCTTAAAGTGAGAGTGATACTGAAGCAGAACTTGCTGGATTCAGCCCTATGTATTGTTTTCTTCCCCAGTGAAACCACATGGATCTGCCAGGTGGCCTAAGGAAAACGTGTGCCTTGCAGCAAAGGAAAGGAAAGATAGAATTAACAAAACTCCAAATGGAAATGTTTGAAGTCCTTGTAAAAAGCGAGAGAACAAGGAAAAAGCAAATTGACTGTTTATTTCCCGCTTTGCTCCTGTCTTCAGATAAGCTATCATCTCACATTACTTCATCAGTTATATAGTTTGTCAACCAGTTGTTGTTTTTTTCAAAATGTTCATGCTTATTGGATTCATGGGCCGTTTTTCTTCTCTTCTGCTAAAAATCAGACATCTCTTTGCTTCCAGATATAAATGCCGAATGCCCAGCTCTGAGATAAGTTACGGCCTTTTTTGTAATTCATATGCAATGAAACAACTCATGCCAATGCTTGAAAGTATCCAGCTTATTCAAAGACTGAGTATAATCTTTCTCTCTCTGGTCTTCTGTGTGGTTTTTCATTTCTTAGCAAATACATACGTACACATGTAACGTATGCTGTATAAAAATATCAAATATATTTCGTCATATATTTCAGATATCGTCATGTCTCAGATTAAAGCAAGAAAAGATACATCGGTTCTGGCAGCCTGGGAAGTTTAAACGAAAATCAGAAGCAGTTTAATGTTCTTTCTTCTTAAATAATTGACAGATTTCTATCAGATGTAGTTCTTAGCAAATTCTTTTAGGCTTTTCAGTGATGTTACATTTTCCCACTGACTTGTCAATCAAAGCTGAGACAAAGCACTGGCTGTCTGTTGGGGGGTTGCTTTGTTACCAGGAAAGGTCGAAATCAGTGACAGCCCTCTTTGCAAAGCAGGGTAGCATACAGCAGTGCACTGGGATATAGTGGTATATGGAAGGCTGCATGGCAGTGGAGATGCTTCTCTAGGAAGCATTGCTTGCAGTGAAGGCTGTAGATCCCAAGCAATTAAGAAGAAATATATTGAAATAGTGGGCTGGGGCATCTGAAGTCTGTCAAAATCCTCTGCTGGCTGGAGATCTCTGCTAACTGCTGCTATGAAACTAGAAGTATGTGCCCCTTCCTCATTTCTGACCATTTCATGTCCGTGGTGGTGCTGGGTAGCAGGGATGAGCTGGGGGCTGCAGGCAGCTCAGCAGGCTCCTGCTGGAAACCATACAGATGTGGCTGTGAAGGGAGAAAAATTTAGACAGATCCTCTTTCCTGTGAGCCCTGAGAGCCCAGTTCAGCCTTGAGCCCATTAGTCTGCAGCTGGAAGCTCCTAGTGCAAGGTGCGGGAGCTGCAGTCCTGAG